TTACATAAACAAGGAAGGAGGCACGGGGAACTCAAGAGACACGGGGAACTCGAGGGACCAGGAAGACAAGGAGAGACTCAGGAGACCCAAGGAAGCGTACCCAACGAAGACGACCCGACGAAGAACAAGACAGAATAGGATGACTTAAATACAGGGAGAAGACGAGACATGATAACAAACAGCTGGGACGAGACACAGGTGGCAACAATGGAAACTAATGAGGGAGCACGAGGGAAACAGACACACCGGGCCACAGAAAAGTAACATCCTTACAGTACCCCCCCCCCCCCCAGGACGCCTCCAGGCGTCCCCAAAAGACCCCCCTCCCGAAGGACTAGGGTGGGTGGAGGGTGGCACTGCAAGGGTGGAGGGCCCGAGGAAAACACGAGGACCAGAGAAAGGACACAAGGGACCAGAGAACGAGGAACCAGAGAATGAGGACACGAGGGGCCAGAAAAGGGACACGAGGGGCCAGAGAAAATACACGAGGGATCACAAAGAACGAGACACGAGGAGCCAAAGAGAAAAAAGGACACGAGGAGCCAGAAAACGAGGAACCACAGAGAAAAAAGGACACGAGGAACCACAAAGAAGGGGACACGAGGAACCAGAGAACGAGGAGCCAGAGAATGAGGACGCGAGGGGACAGAGAAGGGACACGAGGAACCAGAAAAGGGACACGAGGGATCCCAAAGAACGAGGACACGAGGAGAAAAAGGACACGAGGAACCAGAAAACGAGGAACCACAGAGAAAAAAGGACACGAGGAACCACAGAGAAGGGGACACGAGGAACCAGAGAACGAGGAGCCAGAGAATGAGGACACGAGGAGCCAGAGAACAAGGACACGAGGAGCCAGAGAGAACGAGGACACGAGGAGCCAGAGAGAACGAGGACACGAGGAGCCAGAGAGAACGAGGACATGAGGAGCCAGAGAAAACGAGGAGCCAGAGAAAACAAAACACTAGGAGCCAGAAAAGGGACACGAGGGATTTGGACGGTCAAGGGATCGTCCCTAAGAGTCACTGTTCCGGCGGGCGGCCGGGAGGCTGTCCATCAGACCGGGCCAGGTCAGGGGGGCGGCCGGGAGGCCGTCCAAAACACAGGGCCCAAGGGAACACTGCTTGCAACGTGGGAGCCTGGAGGGCTGCAGCGGACGGCATGGGAGCCTGGAGGGCTGCAGCGGATGGCGTGGGAGCCTGGAGGGCTGCAGCAGATGGCGTGGGAGCCTGGAGGGCTGCAGCAGACGGCGTGGAAGCCTGGAGGGCTGCAGCAGACGGCGTGGGAGCCTGGAGGGCTGCAGCAGACGGCATGGGAGCCTTGGGAACTGCAGCAGGAGACGAGGGAACCTTGGAAACTGCAGCAGGGGATGAGGGAAACTTGGGAACTGCAGCAGGGGACGAGGGAAAATTGGGAACTGCAGCAGGAGACGAGGGAACCTTGGAAACTGCAGCAGGAGTCGAGGGAACCTTGGAAACTGCAGCAGGAGACGAGGGAACCTTGGAGACTGCAGCAGGAGACGA